ATACTTTCCCCTAATCTAACCACTGAACTAATCAATAGAATGAAGTAAAAAGCTAAAAGGACAAAAATTTTGAACCTCTTCTCTGGAATCATGAGACCAGCTGCTGATAAGGCAGGTCTTCCAATATTTTTAACATCAGGCTCTTCTTTATGGAAACTTGCTTACAATTTGCCTAGACATTTTTAGTTAGGTGAATAGAGTAAATTATCATCTTCATGATTCTCAAAAGGAAATCTGTATTCTCTTCCCTTTCATTTCAGTCCTATTTCAACAAGTAGTACTTGAATAAGTAACAGAATGAATTCGATAATCAAAATTTCACAGAAGCTGTTAATAAAAGGCATTGTAAATTAGCTAGCTTGTATTGAGCTTACTTATTTGAATGTTTATATTTTTCTGTGGATTTTTTCTTTATTTCATAAATTTTATTTTCTTGTATATATGAAGAAGCACATCCATTTATTTAATATATAAGCAACAAGTTTTCTTTCATGTTACATGTTTCAGGATGCTAAATCAGGATTTCTTCATGACAGCAATTTTTTCATATATTTGGATTGCTGTCTAGAGGATTATAAAATTGTAAATGAATTCATTTTAGGTTTGAGCACTTTAACAGTTTTTCACTGTTATTATTAGTTAAGTAAAGGTTTGCTTGCATTAGAGAAATGCTAGCCTGTTATTTTCATTATCTTTAATAAGAGACATTGTTTCTTATTGCATGTACATTAAAGATTAGTCTTTTTATCTTTTGTCTCTGCTTGCTTTAACATGTTATTTTGTTGTGAAAAAGAAAGTTTTACTCAGATTGATTATCAATCAAGACTTGAACCATAAACTTTGTGGTCTCAATCTAAGTATTCTACTAACTCCTAAGCTATTATCGAGCGCATGTGTGCAAGGGAAATCAGCTGATAGAACATGGCTTTAAAACAGTTTAAATATGGATCAGAGCCAATGTGGGATGCTGTTGAATCTGTAATCTAACCCTGAATGTTAAAAAGTTATCAGTTAGCGAAAAAGTTATCATCAAGGCAAATAAGTCTTAAAATTGTTCCACAGGGCCAGAAGTGCTAAAAAAAATATATATATAAATAAAAATTTGGAAGTAGAAAAAGTAATTGGAAATGGTACTTAAATACCAGGAACATGTTACCAGAATTTTTCTATCTTCACTTTAATGCTTCTTAAACTTTATTCTATCTTTTTTTGTTACTCTTTTGTTATAAAAGAGATGTACATATTCTAGGGGACCACCAGAAGAATCTTGATTTAACTGATTATTACATTCATTATAAAGTCCTTTGTCTGTTCACTTATAGTAACTTTACCAGTCCTAACCATCACAACTAGGATCTGTCATGTTATGCACATTGTAACAAATCAGCTTCATTCCCTCTGTATTTCATTAAAGAATTCAGTTCCACTTGAGCAGCTTCTTCCTGTGAACCATTACTCTGTGGAAAGGACACTCAAGAGGATGTTTTGTCAATCACTAAAATCTTAACCTGTTTAAGATTAACTGTTATCTTTCCCACATACCCATATAAATTGTGCCTCTTACTCTGTAACTCTTTACCTTGAGTGGCTCCCAGGCCTTGTACAGGAGTAAACCTCACTTGAATTCTTATTTTTTAATTTTATTTTGAATATGTATTGAGAAAATGAGTCATGATTTAAAAATATAAAAAGGGAAAAACCATTTTTTTTTTTTTTTTTAATTACTATGGTAAGTGTTTAAAATTTTTGGAATGTGTGCTCTAGTCTTAGAGGTCATTTTGGTGTACAAACAGGAGTGGTTAGAAAGTGCTGGAGTTAAAGACTGATTTATTTTTTTCTTAAAATCATACTTTTTAGATTAGTTTGTGAACACACAGGAAATGGAGGACTGAAGATGTTTATTCACACATATCAGTTGTAAGTGATTTTCTCATACTAACATAAATGTTTTAAAAAATTGTTTTCCACTATTTGGTGAATATTCACTGGATTGATAAGTCAGCAATATTATTTCATTTGCCATCAATAGTAGTGAGAAAAACCTATCTTAGCAAAATTAAAGACAAATGGAGATAAATTGTTTTGAAATTTATGAACAAATTTATTTTAGAATTTTTATAATTCATTTAAAAAAATGTGGTAGGGTGTCAATAGAAAATAATCATAGCAAACCACTTTTAAACTGGATAGGCGATGTTTGGTTTCCAAACTTTTGTGTAAAAAGTATTCTCTTGTAAGAAATTTAAGTCTTTAGATTGTTTTTAAATGCCACATCTCATCAAACTAAAAGCAATCCTGACTCTCCTCAGATTCTTTTTCCTTATCTGTGATTTACCATAACTTCTTGGCTTGGGAAAGATTGTGGGCTGGTTTTCCATTGCCTTCTACATAATTTTGTATTCAGAACTGTCCTCATCTTAGCGTGGCTGCCACTCAGTGCTAAAGAGCTTAGTCTACTTTGCTATTTAACTCATGGCTGGAGGCAGAAAAAAAAGGATTCTTGCTTTTCCCAAAGGTATTAGTGCAAAAGTTAGCATAACAGAGTTGGTCAGAATTTGAACTTGCCTCACCAATTCCACTTTCCATGATAACCATTTTCTATTGGTCATTTAGTAATGTCTTCAATTATAATGGTTGTTACAGCAGTATTTTTAGGAATTTGGCACTTTCAGAGGGCATACAGATATATCATATTGAATTTGATCACCAAATTTAAGCAACATTGAGCCTGTTCAGTACTCAGATGGGTGACTGCTGAGGAATACCATGTACTGTTAGTTATGCAACAGGCCTAGCAAGCTACTTATACTGACAGAAGACCTTGATATGTGGAGGTGCTTTTGGACCAACAGATTACAAGCCCCTACCTGGAGTTGGGCGAGTAAGTACTTTAGAGCATCATATATTGGATATTCTGGTTATTGTTTTTGAGGTTTATCAATTATTTCTTCTAGTATTATCTCTCTTGGATCTTTCTTGATAACCTTTTATAGAATTGGAGAAGAACTAATGGAAAATATAAAGCAACAGTTTCTCTGTTTTCTTTTATTCAGAGAAATTACAAGATGAAATTCTAATGTACATTTTCTCAAAACCAGCACAAATATTTCAAAATGATGCCATATACAATTTGAACAGAATTATTATATATATATATATATATATATATATATATATACACACACACAACGTTACCAGGCATTCTTAGAATGAAAATCTACAGAACTGTTTCCAGCAAAAGTTAATAAAGAGTAAAGGCTTTTTTATATTAAGCTTTTGTTACAACAAATTCAGGTTATTCTACCAGCCTTTAGAGTTTTCTTGTTCGATGTCCCAAGACGCAAATACAAAATCCAAGTAATATATATAACGGAAGTATACGTTTGTTAGCAGGCACCCCGACCCCACCTAAACTTGACGTGACTTAAGTAAGTAACATATATTGGATACATAAGCTGTCTAGGGAAATTAAAACCCAACCACTCCTAAATTAAAATAGATTTAATTTTCCTTAACCATAACAACTCATAATAGTAATATTGTTTGCACTTATAAATTAAATAAATTTCTTAGAAAGTTATCCCTGGCATCACTTGACAATGGAATGTGAATATGGATTTTAAGTTTAATTTTTATAATTAAATTTATAAATTTAGCTTCAGTTTTGAAATATGGAAATTTTTTGTGTCGTGATGGAATCATATTTTTAAAAAGTAAATTATATTTTTGCTCTACTGTTTTGTATCAAGCATTTTTTTTTTAAATTTAAAAATACAGGATTATAAATCTTACTGTTCTTTCTTATTATTTTAATATATATATATATATATATATATATATATGTATATGTGTGTGTGTGTGTGTGAATGCCTTACCATAATTTTTTTTTTTTTTTTTTTTTTAAACATTGTGCCCCAAGCAAGGCGTGAAGCCACTAGGATGCAGGGGGTTGCGGAAGATTTGGAGCGAGAGCAGATAAGAGTGATAAGAGAAAGGAAGAGGAGAAGGATAGTGGGTAGATCAAGGTAATTGGAGATGTCGATTGACATTACATTTGAATAGTTGGAGATTATAGCTTTCAGGGAAACGGTGATTGGGGAGGGTGTTCCACTGGCGAGAGGTGCGAGGTATGAAGCTATTGGAGTAGAAGAGACGGCTACATTTGAAGGTTTCTACGGTGTAAGGGTGAGAGCGGTGTGCCAGCCTCATAGGGCGCTTGAATTCATGGAGTCTGGGAACCAGAGAGAGCAGCTCATCAGAGCAGTTACCATGGAAGTATTTGTAGAAAAGACAGAGAGAGGCGACGGCGCGTCTGTGAGAGAGTGACTGCAAACAAGTATGCCAAGTAAATAACATCCCTGCAATATATAAATAAAAAAAATCTGAACTTTAATTTTTAATGTGTCAAAATTCCAATTATGATATTATTGTTTATGCTAATGCAAGTTAAAGAACAATCTTGGTTAGTACTCAGATGAGTGGCCACTGATGAATGTCAGTTGCTTTAAGTGATGCAATGGGCCTAGCAAGTTGATGAGTTTTATTTATTTTTTTTTTTAATTGGAATCATCCCAAGCAAGGCAGTGAAGCCACTAAAGCACAAGGGGTTACAGGGTGTGGAAGAATTAGTAACAGAAACATTAATGAGGAGCAGAAAAAAAGAGTAATGAGGTGGGCAGATAATGATTGACATTGCATTTAAATATTTCTAGATTAAAGTTGGCTGGAAAGTAAGGAGACAGAAGGGAGTTCCACAAGCAAGAAGTACGAGAGTAGAAACTGTTAGAATAAAATTTAGTACTACATCTAACCAGCTCAACTGTAAATTGATGAGATCTCAATCCCAGTCTAGTGCAGCACTTTAAAAAACTCTAGTAATCTCACTACTTATAGCAACAGAAGACTTCAATATGTGGAGGGGCTTCTGGACTGACAGGTGACAAGACCTACTTGGATCTGGGTGAGTGAGTGGGGTGGGGGGATATACAGTAATATTAGTTATGACCATATCACATTGAAACACTGGTTCTCATCCGATCACCAAAGTTAAGCAATGTTGAGCCTAGTCAAAACTGAAATGGATAACCATTGGGGAATACCATGTGCTGTAAGCTATGCGACAGGCCTAGCAAGCTGGTGATGAGTACAATCTCACTACTTATAATATGCATATCAAGGTCTTCTGTTAGCATAACTTATAATACCTAAGGATCTTGATATATGGAGGTACTTCTGGACACACAGGTTGCAAGACCTACTTGGATTTGTGTGAGTGAATACTTTCAGGGCATCATACTTTCTATTTTTTTTTTTTTTTTTTTTTTTTTTTAAGCTTTTCAAGGTGGGAGTGTTACTAGCACATAAGGGGTTACAGAGAGTGAGAGCAAGAATTAAGAGGCGTGATAGAGAAAAAGGATGAAGAGAAGGACAGAGAATAGATCAAGGCATCTAGGGATGTTGATTGACATTGCATTTGAATAGTTGGAGAAATAAAGGAAACATGTAAGAGGAAGGGGGTTCCACATGAAGTTATTGGAGTAGAAGAGATGGCTACATTTAACTGTTTCAACAGTGAAAGGGTGGGACTGAGATGCTGACTTAGTGGCATGTTTAAATTTATGCAATTTGGGAACTTGTGAAAATAGCTCATCGGAGCAGTTACCGTGAAAGTATTTGTAAAAAAGACAGGGAGGTGACAGCACGTCTGTGAGAGAGCAACTCTAAACGAGATGCCAGATCAGGGCCGACCACATTGCATATACATCTCTGGATTTTGTCGAGGACCTTAAGATGCACAGTGGGGGCTCCAGACAATATATGACAGCAGTATTCCATGCAAGGGCAAATGGTTGATTTATAGACTTGAAGGATGGACTCAGAAAAACTTTCTGGTGCGACATGGCAAACCAATTTTTCTTGCGGTAGATGAAGCTATTGATTCAATGTATTTGTTCCATCTCAGGTCAGCAGACAGTATGAGACCAAGTAGTTACAAAGAGGTACTCTTGTGGAGTTGATCATTAGACATTCTAATCAGAGGCAGGATGGTATTTACTTGATTCCCACTAAATCAAGATATGACACAAGGTCGATTAACGTGGGAGACCCGAGTGTTTCCACTCATAGGCCACTGGTCAAAATATTGGTCAGAGCTTGTCCATGCTGGTCAGAGCCTAGTCAAAGCTGGTCATAACTTGTCCTAACAGGTCCAGGCCGAAGCCAGTCCAAGCTAGTCAAAGCTTGATCGAATCTCAGTCTACCACCAAGAAACGATCCATTAATTGTCAAAACCCCCAGCCAAAAAAAGGCCGGGCAGAATGGGTTCACTGTGGTGGGTAATAGAGAGCAATTTTGTTTTTGAGGCATTAAAGTTAACCAGCCATCTCCTGCCCAAGTCAACAACCAATTGGAGGTCCTTTTCGAGACCAACGGCCAGGTTAGTTTTGTCAGCAATACCAGATTTGCTATTGAGGTAAGAGTAAATAGTAGTTCATCTGCATAGATGCTTACTTACGAACTGATGATGATGATATCGGGAAGGTTGCTAATGAAGATAAGGAACAGTGTAGGGCCCAGGATAGAGCCTTGGGGAACACCTGTATTTGTGAAGATAAGGAACATAATGAAGATAAGGAACAGTGTAGGGCCCAGGATAGAGCCTTGGGGAACACCTGTATTTGTGAAGATAAGGAACATAATGAAGATAAGGAACAGTGTAGGGCCCAGGATAGAGCCTTGGGGAACACCTGTATTTGTGAAGATAAGGAACATAATGAACATAAGCAACAGTGTAGGGCCCAGGATAGAGCCTTGGGGAACACCTGTATTTGTGAAGATAAGGAACATAATGAAGATAAGGAACAGTGTAGGGCCCAGGATAGAGCCTTGGGGAACAAGGACGACTTTCATTACATGGTTTGACCGGAATGATTGTATTAAGTCAATAACCGTCCTGAAATTCCGTATCCCTGAAGCTTACAAGGGAGGACAGCATGCCAAACCCTATCAAACACTTAGAGATATCTAGAGTCACAGCACAAGCTTCTCCATTATTGTGAAGTGCTTGGTAAACAAATTCTGTTATGGCTGTGAGCACATCAGCTGTAGATTAAGCAAAGTGTAAACCATATTGTTTGTCAGAGAGCAGATCATGCGATGTAAGGTGCTTATTGATTAAAGCTTCAGACTTTGCTGAACGGTAGTTAGATGGGTCAGAAGGGTCACAGGAGTTCTTAAAAACAGGTACAACAGATGAAGACTTCCAACAGACTGGAAAGCAGGAGTCATTGAGGCAGTAGTTATATAGTTTGGAGAGGAGCCAGGTCAGGAGCACATTTCTTCAGGACAATGGCTGATATCCCGTCCCCACCACTAGCCTTATGGGAGTCTAATTTGGAAATGATGCCCAATACCAACAATGGGGTTATGTGTAAACTCACTCAACAGAGCCTCAGTTCTAGGAGGGAAATTGGGCGTGAGTACACTAGATGAGTCGTGCATTGAAATGAATGAGAATATCCAAGCAAAGCACTTGGTCTTATCAGCTGAGGAAATCAGGACCTCAAATTGGTTGAATAAAGGAGGTATTCTGAGTTTGCTGTTGTTTAGTACGCTCTTGCAGAGACGCCAATAATCTTTGGAACCAAATTTGCGAGATGCAATATGTTGTTTCATTCAATCATTACAGGCTGAGACAAAGATGTCTGTTGCAATCTGACATGTCATTACGGTACAGGTGGAAGAAGTGTTTTCTATGGGTAATGGCGGTTGAGCAAGCAGCAGAGAACCATGGGGAGGAGCACAATTTAACCTATTTCTTTGTGGAGATGAAAGCCTCGATACCAGCTTTTACCCAGGAGACCTCAGAAACAGGGAGATTAAAGACCACATTCCAAGGGACATCGCGAAGGAAATCATGGAATGAGTCCCAGTCAACTCATTGATAACAGAAAGATATTCTGTTGGTAGGAGGGTCTTTGCTGGGAGTGGAGTAGAAAGAGATGTTGACAGGCACTACAGCATGATCAGAGTTGCCAAGAGGACAGAGCTGCATGGCATGACAAGATTCAGGGGTGGAGGTAAAGCAGACAATGACAAGGGAAGCCTTACCATCCTGGTTATTATGGAAATGTGTGGGGAAGTTAACCATTTGTGTGTGCAATTGATTAATTGAAAAGCTAGGGGTTCATATGCCCGCAAGGTCACTTATAGAGTTTTTAAGCCACTTGGTATAGTTGGCATTAAAGTCACCGAACATGAATTTATGTTGAATTGTTAATGTTTTTAAGGTTTATCAATTATTTTGTTTATTAGTTTTGTATTTTTTATCTCCCTTGGATCTTTTTTGATAGCCTTTCATATAGTAGGGCTTGATTGTGGTCTATGAACGAACTTTGCAATTATCAAAATTTAATTCTTTTTGCATTTTGTTTCATACATGATGAGCAATGACTTTGAGGGCAAACTTAGTGGATGAGATAATTATGCATTTCTCACTGATACCAGAGGGTTGGTGTTCAAACCCAGGTAAAATTCAGATATTTTAATGCTGATTTCAAGAGTGGACAAGTCCTCTCTGCTTATGTTGTAACTTAGAGAAGGTTACTGAATAGAATAATCACACAAAAGTTGGTAATGAACGATAATAATTAGGACATGAACAACATGTATAAGATTTGCCACCAGCACATGGAAGAAGTAGTCAACTGTTAGAAGCGAGTCAAGTGAATTCCACAATGAATCTCAAACTGCAGGATATCTACCAACCTGCCCCACATGGTCAGATGTGGCACAAGGCTGAATTTAATGTGGGCTATCCAAGCCCATAGGCTCGGTCAGAAATTCCTTGTAGACCTCATATAAAACTGAGTCGGTTAGCTGTTTCCTGAGACAAGACTCTGCCCTTTGACATAGCCTCATTTGGGGATCCTATCTGCCTCGAGGCAGATTTTGACAAACACAGCTTGATACGAATCTCCGACTGCAGACCAACATACAGTATTTACTACTGTATTTATGTGAATGGGGACGTACCCATTATCGTCCGTAGGTATGCTACAACAGCTTAGAAGTTAGGTGCAACATAAACTTCCTTGCCCACTTTCTAATTTGGCCTTATGCACTGTCAAGCCTGGTCAGTACCTAGATGGGTGAAGTTTTCAGAATATTAGGTACTTTAAGCTTGGACGTACAATTACACAATGGTGTAATGGATAACAGCTTGGAATTAGAAATCAGTGGGCCAAGTTCCAATTCCAGTTGGATTCGTTAAATTTACTTATATGCACAATTACCCCTGGGAAAGGTTTGAATCCACCCCTTCTCCCTTCAGCTAGCAGTTAATTAGTAAGACTTGTCACTAAATCGTTATCTCCAAAACCTTTTTACAATCTAAAAAAATATTTTCTGTCTTTAAATAACCTGCAAAAGGTTGATAAGCTGTAAGAAAACAAATCCTTGTGCCAAACTAAGTTAAGTGTTAGAAATATATATTAAGTTGATATAAAAAGTTTCTAACACCATTTTATTAGAGAAATTATACAGCTTTCAAGAAAGTTTACTTAGCTATTTATTGCTTGCATATGTTGCATGTTTAAGGAAGTTTTGAGAACCATGATTGTCTATGTAGTTCAGGCACATAAATGAAATTAAGTATTAAATAAAATGAATTCTTTATAAACTTACATTGGTTGACATTCAGAGTTTTCTTTATTTTCATTTTTTTTTTTTAATCATTTCACCCCAAGCAAGGCAATAATATCACTAGGATGCAGAGTTTACATGGAGTGAAAGATGATGAGAAAACTTTAGCGAGGAGGAGTGAGAAAAGGACAATAAAGGAACAGGGTTCAGGAAGACACAGGATGACGATTGATGTTACAGTTAATTTTTGAAGGTGACAGGGAAGCAAGAAATCAGAAGGGAGTTCCACAGGCAAGAAGTGTGAGGGGAAAAAAATATTAGAATAGAAGTGGCAGTTGCATCTAGCTAGCTCAACAATAAAACAGTGAGACCTAGTTGTCTAGTAGCATGTTATGGGTTAAATAACAGGACAAACTGGGTCCTGTAGCCTTGGTTGCCAACCAGTCTACCACAGAAAGTAACAGCAGCTG